ATCATCCACAGATGCTGCTTAAAGCTCTATCAGGCAAAGAAGAAGCCAGATGTGAACACCATCCAGAACCGCTGCCATCCTCTCTGGACCAGAACTCATTAAACATGGACTGAGGCAAAGTCCAGAACCGTTCTGAGGTCAGATGGATCCATATTTAAAACTCTTCTTGGAAACTAAAGATGCCACATCGTCCGTATTGGAAAGGAGATGAACCATCCAGCGTGTTATCAGTGTGTAGTTCAAAATCCTGCCTCTCTGATGGTATAGGGATGCATTAGTGCCTCTGGTAAGGGAAGCTTACACATTTGGAAAGGTTCCTGTCTATGCAGAAAAGTACTGGCTTTAGAACATCTGCTCCTATCCAATAAAATATCTAGAAGACCCAGGACAGCCAGAATCCTCCATGAACAACATGAGTGTTTTAAAATTTAATGACAAAATATAAATATATATTAAAATAAATCTGCCTGCAGCTTGTCTAATACTCCTCTGAATATGATCCCAGGGATGTTAAACGAGCTGCATCCTGGAGATGTTAGATGTGAGATCTTTGTTGTGTGTCTGACATCGCTGTGTTCCTGTCCAACATTTCCCCGGATCCTGTTGGGACAAGATAAAAGGCTTTGTGCACCAGTATCACTGTAACTGCAGGTGTGGAGGCTCCCGTTTCACCAGTGTCACTGATGTTCGCAGGCGCTCCGAGGGGGAGGGAGGGGGACAGCGGTGAAACATCTGCACGTTTGGATAAGCATCTGAGGGTTCGATCAAACTCGACACCTCGCAGGTAAATGTTTGGATCCTCCCAGAAGCCCGTGTGAGTGGGTGGGAGCGCTCTGAGTCGTCTCGTCTGGCTCCGCATCAAAGGAGAGTTGAGGAACGCACGGTTCGGTTGAAACTGAGAACATCTTTGCGATCGCTTCACTCAGGAGAGCGGTTTGTTGGAAACTCCGGTTTGCAGGTTTAGGTTTCAACACTTTGTCTGAATTTAGACACACGGACGAGATCCCTTTAATAAAAGTCTTATTTCTGCTTGAGTGGAAATGATGAAGTGCTTCCATTAAAGCTGCCTCTTACAGAAAATAAAATTATGAAGAATAATGTAGAAAATATTCACATTTTGTGAATTGTCACGATTTGATTAGTGGCAAAGATTTCCAGCCAAAAGACATTCTTTCATGTTTAAGAAACTCAGTGTAAAAATGATAATTGTTTGAAGGAATGCATACCACCCAATCTGACTCTCACACAAACAGCTTTGAAATGACTCTCACCTACTACCACGTCCAATTTGAGCTCAATAACTGTACGACTTGTTTTTGTGTTTCCTAAGGTTGATTAGCTGCTGCACTTATCTTGAATAACGTCTTCAAAGGTTATTCACTTTTAGATGCACGTTCAATGTTCATTTTCATTTTTTCATTTCTAGATGACATTAATCTGTCCTCCAGCTCTAATGTTGAAAATCTTGGTGTTACTTTTGATCAGGACGTGTCTTTTATCCCCCACATTAAAAACGTTACTAGAACCTCCTTCTTCCACCTGCGTAATATCACTAACATTAGAAACATCTGATCTAAAAGTGATGCAGAAAAACTGGTCTATGCATTTGTCACGTCTAGACTGGACTATTGCAATGGTTTATTATCTGGGTGTCCACATACGTCTTTAAAAAGTCTTCAGTTGATGCAAAATGCTGCTGCCAGAGTCTTAACTGGAGTTACTGGGAGAGATCATGTCTCCAGTTTTAGCTTCTCTCCATTGGCTCCCTGTCAAATCCAGAATTTAATTCAAAATCTTACTTCTAACCTACAAAGCTCTCAACAACCCAGCTCCATCTTATATTACAGATCTTATTGTTCCATGTTTTCCCAACAGAGCGCTTCGCTCTCAGACTGCAGGTTTACTTGTGGTTCCTAGAGTTTCCAAAACAGAATGGGAGGCAGATCTTTCAGTTCTCAGGCTCCTTTCTTGTGAAACCAACTTCCAGTTTCTGTCCGTGAGGCTGACACATTATCCAGTTTTAAAACTAGGCTTAAGACTTTCCTTTTCGCTAAATCCTATAGTTAGGGTCGGCTTGGGTTTCCTGAGCTGTCCCTTAGTTCTGCTGCTATAGGCTTAGACTGCTGGAGGACAAACTGACCACACTTTTCACTCTACTACTGTCTTTACTTACTCTGCTCAACCTGTTTTGTATTTGTAATTATTTTTTCTATCCTTAATATGTTTTTTTGTCTTTCAGATACACCTGGACCTGGACCTATACCTGGACCTGGACCTATACCTGGACCTATACCTGGACCTACCATTCTGTGTTCATCTGTCTCTCCTTCCTGTCCTCTCAAACCAGCCGGTCAAAGCAGATGGCCACTTGTCCTGAGCTGGTTCTGCTGGAGGTTTCTTCCTTTTAAAAGGGAGTTTTTTCTTTCCACTGTCTCCACTGGGCTTGCTCAGGATGGGAGACTGCAACGAAGCCAAGATTCAACTTGTCTGCTGGATTCCTTAGATAGAGAACTTTACTAATTGGCTTTTATGTGAATGTTCCTGTAAAGTGCCCTGAGACAACTTTGTTGTGATTTGGCGATATATAAATAAACTGAATTGAACTGAATATTTTCCATTTGGTTCATTAAAATCCATCCTGTGGTTGATGAGATATTTTGCTAACAGGCAAACAATATTAACTTTAAAAAGTTATGGTCTCATACAATCAGATGGTGTGAGATCTGTGTGTAAAGCAGAGGGAAATGTTCGTTTCTTCAGTAAATTATGGTTTCATCATGTGAATGCTGAGTCAGCAATCAGCCTGAGGGTTAATGCTGAGTCAGCATTCACATTGTTCTCCTGGTTTTTTTTGTACTCAAACTACTTTGTATTCTTTTAATTGTCCATGTATCAAAACGTTCAGCTCATTCAATGATCGTTTTTACCTTTTACCCCCATACGTTTGGAGATCTTCGGGCCCTTCAAAAACTTTGCTCACTTTGAAATCTGCTTCAGCTCACTGGCTCTATTTTTGTCTTCTTTGACAGACTTTGTCTTCTACTTCTACTGTTTGTGACCGACTAATGGATGAGGTCACAAACAGTAGAAGTAGAAGACAAAGTCTTCTACTTTTTCTACAGGAATCCCCGTGGACTCTTATGTTTGCAGATGATATTGTGATGATTTGTGGTCAGAACAGGGAACAGGTGGAAGAGAACTTGGAGAGGTGGAGGTATGCACTTGAAAGAAGAGGAATGAAGACAGAGTCCATGTGTGTGAATGGGAGGGAGGAGGTGGAACAGTGAGGCTACAAGGAGCAGAGGTCACAAAGGTGCAGGACTTCAAGGACTTGGGGTCCACTGTCCAGGAAAACAGTATACTGATCAACAAAAAAGGTTGAATCATGTCATCTGGACTTCGTTTTTTTGTTAAAAAGAAACGTTTCGCCCCTCATCCAAGAGGCTTCGTCAGTCTGAGGCCTAGCCATCTGGTATTACCCAGAAGCCACCCTGACTCTTGTGTTTCAAGCCTGCCTCAGATACCCCTGAAGTCTGGCCTTTTCACTAATGGTTTCAAAAACACAAAGTTTGTTTTCTCAGTCATCCAGGTATATAACAACAAAAAAGGTTGAATCATGTCATGACATGATTCAACCTTTTTTGTTGTTATATACCTGGATGACTGAGAAAACAAACTTTGAGTATACTGATCAGTTCCTGATCCACCCGGGTTAAAGATCAGAGTCCTCTACCTGAATCAGGACTCGTGAATTCAAGGTCTCACTTAGCCCGAATGCTTCATGTCCTCTGGCAGTCTACAAAGGTCTGTGAATCACCAGAAATGCTGCAGCCTCAGGTGAGTCAGGCCGCTGCTCTGGGTTAATGACTCACAGGATATGCTGCAGAGTCGGGTCACTGATCCGGGTTAATGAACCACCGGAAATGCCACTGACTCAGGTGAGTTGGGTCCCTGCTCCGAGTTAATAACTCGCTGGGAATGCTTCTGGTTTTGAAGAGAGTGATCTGCTGGGTTTAAAAACAACTGGAAATGCTGTGGACTTCAGTAGGTCATACAGTTTCCACTGTCTCAACTCTCATGGGTTCTGCACCACACCACATCAGTTACGGGCCTGCCCACTGCCAGGACCCACTCGGTCCAGTTTATGGGCCACCTTGTTTGTGGTTCCAGCAGACAGCAGCCGTTGACTGGCCAGTGGAGATACGTCACTGGATGACCCGCCCAGCAAAACTGCAAACTACATCTGAACCTCCATTTCAGCTCTGATTGTGTTGACGGACGGCGCCACAAGAAATGAGCACATTTACAGAGCGATATCAGCGATGATGCAGCATCCTTCTGCTCCTTCTGCTTCTCTTAGCTTCAGCTTCTTGAGTAGTTTTTAGTAACTTCATGCAACATTTAGCTTTAATTTTAAAATCGCCCAGAACATCGTTATTGTAACAGAGAAAATGTGTTTTCTTTCCTCACAAAGTGAAGATGTTGGAAATGTCTGATTTGGAAGCAGCACAAGGAGCCGCAACTGGTGGCTCAGTGGGTGGAGCTGCTGCCTCTCAGTGAGAAGATCACCAGATCAAACCCCGGCCAGGGGCCTTCCTGGGTGGAGTTTGCATGTTCTCTCCGTGCATGTGTGGGTTTTCTCGCACAGTGACAGCTGGTTATGGGCACCAGTGACCCCCGCGACCCAAAAAGGAAGAAGCAAGTAAAGATGATGGATGGATGGATGGATGGATGGATGGATGGATGGATGGATGGAAGCAACACAAGATCAGAGAAGTCTTTTAGGTGTAACACGTGAAAATAAAATAAAAAAGGATAATTTATCACAATGACTGAGAGGTAAAAACTGTTCAGGAGTTTCCTGAATCGACCCTCAGAATTCAACCGAACTAGACGTCACTGATCTTTTCGTGTTGCTCTGAGCTCGTCTCCTCTGGACGTCCTGCAGACCATGTGACAGACCGTGTCATGTGATGGTTAATGCTGAGAAGACAACTCACGGTGTTCGGCTCGGGTTGTAGAAGCCGCTGCTCGGTTCGGCCTCTGCGGCCTGCGCAGCTGCTCTCCTCTCCTCAAACTCCTCCCTGCTCAGAACCATTCCATGGTGGCCGTGCTCCACCAGCTTACGGGCCAACTCCCTGCTCTGCCAGAGACAAGAGAAGGTGGAGTCAGTGGAGGAGCGGCGACAGCGTGTGATACGCAGGTATACGGAGTATACTAGAAAAGCTTGGGAATTTCAGTGTAGCCACTTAAAGGTGCCCAATGATACGAGCCCACGTCGTGTGTCATTGTCAACACATCGAGTTAGTTAAACCTGTTTTGTTTGTATAATTAATACTTCTGTTCTTACTACTTAATACCTGAACATGTTTTGCTTTGATTCTGTTTCATAAATTCTGTAACATGTTTTTAATACAAAGCCAACTGTTGTACAAAGTGTGAAAAGCATCAGATGAATTTTGAAATGTTCAATACGCTTAAAAATCTAAACAAATTGACGATTACGTTGTACTAACTGGTGTACTTTGGTTTCTGAGCACAGCACCACTGGGTGACCGGGCCTGCAGACGGAGCTGGACGGAGCTGGACACTGTCGGTCTTCAGTTACGGCACGACGAGCTCCTTGGCTGCTCCACTAAACGCCGATTAATATTCTTTTAAAACACTAAATTTAGGAATTTTCATGCGTGTAGATAAAAGATTATTTAGCACCACGCCCAAACTACAAGTCGTACGTTGCTACGCGACACCAGGAGCTTTATTTTGAAGGGCTGCCCCGTGTGCAGCACGTGCGTTTGCAGAGACGGTTGGAACATTTTTCTAATCACTGCAGAGCCACCATCACCGGAGCCAAGCCATAAAGACATCAAGTAAAAAGCTAATCTGGCTGTTGAATCCAGTGGCTGCTGGGATGAAAGCAGCTGCCACATGTCCACTTCCCCACGTCCCAGCAGCTGGGCCTGCGTCCGCACCCGAGAGGAAAACTTATATTTTCCTTGAACTTTGATGTGGCTCACCAGAAAATGAGTCTCAGACATGTGTGCTGCTCCTAAAGCTGGCCTCCAAGTCATTGTCTATATTTTTAGGACTCATTAGATACATCCGTTTGATCGTATGAAACCTGGACTAATGCTCCGGTCATTACGCACCAAATGACCTCTGTGATCTGACCAGAGCCTCCACAAAGTCTGAGCAGCACAGAATGGTTGGACGACTTCAGAATGAGCTGATTTATGAGGCCGTGCGGGTGAGAACGCGCAGGTTAGATGACCTGCGGTGACCTGGTGGTGTCACAGCACGAGGCTGACTGAGATGGACTGCAGCAGATGAGTTGCTCTCCTCCCTGTGGACACAGGTGTTCAAACAAAGTGGCTGCTGCTGCAGTTTACTTTGACAAGAGGGACACCTGGAGGACACCTGGAGGACACCTGGAGGACCGCAGCAGGACTGCGCAGAGGTCCATGACGTGTTCTGCTGTCCCAGCATCCTCCTCTACATTCATCTCCCTGATAAGTCCGTTTTCAATGTCCTTTGTCCAAGATGTCCACTCCTCTGCACATGTCCTCCCCTCTGTGTCTTCATTTGGTTCCTTACAATAAAAATCTGAACGTTATCTCAATCAGCTCCACCTTCTGTCTTTCAACCACTGTCTTCAGATGGGAGAGGAGTGGTGGTGCAGAGGTTACAGAAGGTGGGCCTGTGATCGGAAGGTCATTGGTTCAACTCCCAGTGTGAAGCGCCCACACCTGCCACACTCTGGGCCCTTGAGCAAGGACCTTAACCCCCACCATCTGCTCCCAAACTGGTCTCTGTTGAAAACGAGTCCTCGTGACTCAATGAGACTAACCTGTATAAATAAAGGATCAATAAATCATACATCAGGTCTGGTCAACAAGTGGCACACGGGCCAGATGTGGCCTGTTCACATTTTTCTTTAGCCCCCATGAATCCTGAACTAGTTTGTCTGAATATGGTGCTAAAAATGTACAGATCAAAGTTATTTCTCTCTCTTGAGCAATCGGTTGCCGTCGAACAGGCAATCTTTGGTAAACACTGGCAGTGGAGACGGGTGGGGGTGAGTAAATGTGTGCACCTGAAAGCACCTGTGGAAACATTGACAACCAGAAGACAACAGATTGACTGTTTCAGTTCAAGTGGACCAAAACATTTTTTTAAAATTTATTAACTTTATTTAACCAGCCTCCCACTGACATCACAGATCTCTTTTGCAAGGGAGGCCTGGCCCTGAACGCAGCCTAACATGCATGTTTTTGTTCTGTGGGAGGAAACCGGAGCACCCAGAAAAAAAAAAAAAAACACGCAAGCACGAGAGGAACATGCAAACTGCACACAGAAAGAGGATTGAACCCAGGACCTTCTTGCTGTGAGACAACACTGCGCCATCAAGCTGCCAATGTTGTTCACTTTGCAAGCAGAGTTCAATGATCTTATGAAATATAATGATGTTGAAAAAAATTTTTTTTAAACTTTTATTTTAATTTTGCATTTTTTTGCACTACATACAAAAATAATAATAATGAAAAAAATAAAAAACATGCAACCTCCACTCTCAAAAGAAGAAAGAAGGACCAGGGTGTCCCACACCTATGGCGCTGGAACCAGGTGTCAGAATGAGCAACCACCTCCTTTTATACTCTGCCCACCTCGTTTACCAGGAAGTGACGTTTCTCCAGCCAGGTATATTTTCATACTGCTACACAACAATACAATAAAATGTGTTCTAATCTAAATTTACGTAAAGGGCGACCTTAAAATAACTTGTGTGTGACTGCCATCTAGTGGACAGTAAAGGTACTACACCAACAAAATTATTTTCCTGCTTTGGTATTTTAATTATACATATACATATATATATATATAAAGAAAAACTAACAATACCAACACAATACAAATATGAAAGCTTGTTTTATTTAAGGAAAATAGAAGTCAAAAACACGCCCTCAAAGATTGTAATAAAAGACTGCGCGCAGAACTCCGTTTAAAAATTCATCAGTTTTTGTGTCTCGGCTCCCTAACGTCAAATCATGACTCCTAAATTGTCAATGACTCTTAATTTTAGACAACTTGGGTTCAAAGGTTCAACGCGGCATACAAATAACTCTGGATGAAACAGGTTTTGAAAAGCTGCAACGTGTTTTAATTTAGTCTTCTTCAGATAGATACCGGGCACAAACTGTGCTAGAAGTGACATTTTGCTGTCAGGTAGTTTTTGGGAACGCTGAAGTAAAGAAAAGATCTGGATTTGAAAAGTCAGACAAAGTTCAGTTATTTACAGCACACCAAAGTGATGAGCTAAAAGCTTAAAAATAAACCCCTCACCTGTACGTAAAATAAATCCGTCGGGGTGACTTTAGAGTCCAGGTAATCCTCGTAGACTTTAAATTTGATCAGAGAACCGTAGAAGCGTCCCACTGGGCTGGGCTCCATCTTTGGACCTTTCAGTTGTGATGTTGCTATTGGTGATGTGCGGATCGATACTGAAACACCGATACCACTGTGTTCTAAAATCGATTCTTAACTCAAACTATCGATAGTTTTGATACTTGAGTCATTTCAGGTAAAACTTGTCATTAACAGGAAGGTAGTGGAAAGTAAACTCTTAAATGATACGCGGTTGGTGGGAACTACTTTTTCTTCCGCCAGTGGTGCGTAAAGCGGAGCGGCACAGTGCGCGTGCTCAGTCAGACTGTAAACATAAACAATGGCGGAGCGTAAACAAAGTCACGTGTGGAGCTATTTCAGCTCCAAAACAACCAAGAACCTGTTTGTGAAGTTTGTGGAAAAACTGTAAAAAGCTGTGGCATTTTATGAAATAAGTAACTCAACGAATTAATGCTCAAACAAATAGTTTGCATGAGTTCGGGTTGGAGTAATAATATGTTTATCACGGAGATAATTTCACAAAGGTAAAAATATTTATTCAGGTAAGGTTTCCTAAAGAAATGACAATTTAAAGTGGATAACATGGACCAGGTGTCATCAAGTTATACAGAGCAGTGGTGATGAAACAGCCTGAGCTCTGAAAAATATCTACAGTAGTACAAAATATGGATTTAAAAAATTAGTCTTAAAAACATCTATTATTTACAATTTGAGTTTATATTATTTCTATTACTGTGCAATTATTGTGGCATTTATTTATTTAATTAAGCGGATACTGGCCAACATTTTACCCGGTGTCGTATCGATACCAGAAATCCTGGTATCGATACAGTATATACTGTTTTATTTATAATTTTATTTCTCTTTCTAAGCAGTCATCTCAAATTATAATCTTTCAGGCTTTTTGGAATTCTTTAATTGACTTCTTCGTTACTCATTTTAGTCCAGTCCTTGTGGAACACCTTCAGAGATTTTGTTGGTGGCACAGTGGCTCTGTTGGTAGAGCCGCAGTGTCTCAGGTTGTGGGATTGAATCCTGGCTGGGGATGTTTCTGGGTGGAGATTACATGTTCTCTCCGTGCATGCGTGGGTTTCCTCCGGGTACTCCGGTTTCCTCCCACAGACCAAAAACATGCATGTTAGGCTGACTGGTAAATTGTCCCTAGGTGCGAGTGTGAAGAGCTGTTTGTCTCTGTGTGTCCCTGTGATGGACTAGAGACCTGTCCAGGGTGTCCCCCGCCCCTCACCCACTGACTGCTGGGTATGGGCAGTGACCCCCGTGACCTGAAAAGGAAGAAGCGGGTAAAGACGATGGATGTTTAGGTCTTTTAACACCAAGAGTCTTTTTTTTTTTTTACACAAAGTCAAACAATAAACTACTGTTGTGTCAAAACATGATTTGGAAACGTGAAACATTTATTGTGCGAGAGCACGAATAGTTGTTTGTCTTTCTGTGTCCCGGTGATGGACGGACCACCTGTCCTGGAAGACGGGCGCTGCAGCTCCCTGCCACCCTTAATGAGAGCAAGTGGGTAAAGAAAATGAATGGGTGGATGTTTAAATATGTTTCTGCTTTATCCTGATGAAAAATATAACTCGTGTTCATTTCTATCGCTGCGGCTACAAAAAATGCTCAAGGAAACCGTTTGTCAAGTGTAACAGTATATTTGCACCAACAAATTGAAATGAGGGGCAACAGGTCAAGCAGAGATCCTTCTCTCCAGCTCCCTCCACAAAGCTTGCTGTAGCTAGAGACGATGAGAGAGTCTTAACGTCTGCAGGGAGCCTTCGGTCTGCTCAGGGGTCGCCTTATCACCTGGTTTGAGGCGGAGGAGCAGAAGCTCTTCTGAGAATGATCCCATGCAGCCCCTGTTCGTAGGAAGCTCATTTCAGCTGCTTCCATACAGCTTCTTTCAGTCACCAGCTGAAGTTCACAGGTGAAGGTCAGGGTAGATCATCTGGTGAATAGATTTAATCTTCGGCTCAGCGCTCTCTTTTTCCAGACCAGCAGCGTCTGCCTCACAGTAGATGCTGCTCTGGTCCAAACGTCACTCTTCCAGTTCCACCTCCACTCGTGGACAACATCCTCAAGAACATGAACTCCTCCACCCGGGGCAGCAGCTCATTCAAAAGCCAGAAGTGGCTGCTGGGGATCATAGCTTCAGACTTAGTGGTTCTGATCTTCATACTGCATGTCCTCGATCAGACCATGGGACCACACCCTCTACAAAACAGCAGGGATGGAAGCTTCCACCAACAGAATCAGCTGCTTTCACATTGAAATGTGTCAATTAAACAACAGTTGTGAAGTCCAGTGACGTCTCTCCATTGTTCTGGTAAATGTGCACAGCTCAGGACTCTTTGGACTGAGTAAGGTATGGATCAAGGACACGGCTAAGAACGAGCTCATGTGCGTAACTTAAGTCCAGATTGAGCAGATGGAGATGTGAGCTTGGACAGGAAGGAGCAGAGGCAGGTGGAGCGCCGCAGACAGAAAAGATGGAGCCAGGGACACCAGTGAGCCCTCGGCCAAGTTAGGATCAACTTTATAAACCGTCACGCAAGCTTTGTGTCATTCCTGGAGTCACGGAGTGTTTTCTTAACCAGAAATAAACCCCCTATTTAATTATTGAATAGCTTTATGAAAAATAAATGTGTAAATTCTGCCGTTCTGAGGTCGAGCTCCTTCTTTTGTTCAGTTTTCAAGGATTTGGGTGAAAACACATCGTTGATCAGGACTGGCACAAACTCTGAGCAGCATCTCGAACAGCTTCATTTATTCGGAGACGTGGATGTTGAAACGTGATGCTGCAGTTTATAAAAGATGCTGGAAACATTTCTGTGAGTTTCTGGTTTGTCTTAAGGATTAAAGTGTTTGTAGGAAAAGTAACGAGAGACGAAAGGCTGCAGCACTGAAGCCATGCCTGATGAATGATGGATGTAAAGAGAAGGAGGATGAACAGATGTTTGGTTTGACAGAGGAGGATGCAGAGGGCTGTGGAGACCTCTACAGGAAGCAGCCCAAAGCAGAAGAAACACGACATACTGTAGAAGTAGTTAAAAGATGAACGTTTCTTTAAAAGGTCTTCCAAACCTCTTTGGTTTGACTGTTCTGGAGAAACACGAAAGGATGAGTTCTTAAAAAGCACATTAATACTGTCTTCTATACACCCTACATCCGTAACCTTTGACCTCATACAAAATAAACATTTTCTCTGCACGATAGAGCAAAGGGGCGAATCCTGCTCTTCTTTATAGTGAAGTCAGAACAGCCTCAAGTTTAAAACGTAAATCGACATGACCTCAGAGCAGCAGTGACCGTTCACAATCAAGTGGATTACGTACAGATTTCTGTTTTTATGTTTAGTCTAGATTTGTTGAGAGGTTCAGTAAACTACTTGTGATGGATTTCACTGATACCTCTATATGAAAGCATGATTATGCTCATCAGTAAAATATAAACCAAACCTGTGTCTGAAAATCCAGCCGAATATTGCGCTGAGTGATACATTTCTCACTATTTAGAGGTGTGGAATCTAAATTCTAGATAGAACTTTGTTTATGTACGTCTTTCAGAGGATCTTTATTTGAGCATTTCTGCTGCTTTTGTTTGTTAGTATTGAACAAAGTCCACGAAAGGGAATAAAACGTATTTGTGTTCTCTTGTGTCGGTCAGAGTGAGACATCTTCTTGTATTTACTATCTATGTTGACGTGGCGCCTGGTGTTGTGTCGAGCTCGGTAACCCCGTTCAAATGCCTTTATCCAGAGGCTCCGCCCCCTAGGGCCGTGAATGAAGCGCGTGTCTGCTGGAAACTCGCTCCCGACTCTCTGAACTGTGCCACGTATTAAAAAAATCATGTTTAAGCGTTTTTTGTTTTGTTTTTTTGTATATATATATATATTTATAGTTTAAAACAGTTTTAGGTCTAGTTATAAAGTAAAAACTATAAAAAAACTAATAATTGTATTTACTAAATGTCACTGATGGTGTTCTACTATTTCTGAACACCTTGTATTGAATCAAAAGAAAACCTCTTGCAAGTAGCTCCTATTAATATTGAAACATTTAAGGTACATTGAGATGGTGAAATTATTAAATATGTGCTAAGGTGCAGTATTAGGACCTTTTTAATATTAGGATTATTTAAGAGAACCGGTACTCAAAAAATGAGCTTGATTGTATTTATATTATGAACTTGTATTACTATAGTAATCATAACAGAATGTGAGCATTAAAGGCCAAATATATATAATTGTTTATTGTGATAAACAAGTAGAATAACAAAACGAATACATAAAATAGATCAAATAATCCACAAATGAATTTATATAGTATTTACTATGTTAATGATTACAGATTACTGCAGAGATGGTCCATATATACCACACTGTGAAACATACTTTAAGTTACAACTCAGCCACTGGATTTAAGCAACTCTCCAAAACTGAATGACTCCAGCCTTGCCAAGAAGATGTCCTGAAGATGTCCTGAAGATGTCCTGAAGATGTCCTGTGGGAGGACGGAGGCTGTGGTCACCGATGTCCTGTGTCCAAATGCAACAGAAGAATTGGTCCAAACATTAAAAAGAGGAAGCAACCCGCTCCCATCCTCTCTTCACACCGATGCCTCAAACAAGGTGAAGATGAACCATGTTTTATTAATGATAGTTAAATACAAACGGATACAACTGATGTATACAAATAAGTACATGATCAAACTTACTTTACAGAATACAAACATATGCATACTTCTACACATCTTTAAAAAAAATAAACAGTTTATATATGATGTATTAAAGTAATATCAAAAGGTGGTTAGGATATGATGCAAAATTCTAAAGATAAACAAATATTTGCTCCCATTTATTTACCACTGTGCATGACCTGTGTGCCTCTAGTGAACTCGGATCATAAATCTTTAACTCCTTCTTGCAGGATAAACATGTCTGTGGATGAGCTTCATGAGGAACGTGTGACTGCAGCTCCTCACCACAGAAGCTCAGGAGAAGGTGTCAGTCCAAGGAAACAGCAGAGGTGGATCAAG